GGCTTTTTGAATAATACCTTTTAAATGTATGAATGGGAAATGCGTGAGTAAAAAAAAAAAGACAAAGAGCAAGAAAAAGAAAAAAGACATGAACAGAAGCCATCCAAAGAGCCCAGAAGGAAGCAGCGGAGAAGATGAACAGAGGAAAATGGAAAGGCATTTTGATACCTTAGCCAGCAGCAGAGATGGGTAAAATTGAGAAAGAAAAGCCACAGGTTCCATAAGCAAGTGTCACATACTTGCCCAAAAAATTAAAAAGCCCTAGTCTCATTAATTTAAAAAAATGTACATCTTATTAACATCAAGAATGAGACCCTGCCCAGCATGGCTCAGGTGGTTCAGGATCATCCCACAAAGCTAAAGGTTACTGGTTCAACTCCCAGTCACCGCACATGGCTGGGTTGCAAGCACAGTCCCAGCTTGGGGCACATGAGAGAGGCAACCAATTGATGTTTCTCTTCCTCTCTTTCTCCCTCCCCTCCCCCTCCCTAAAAATAGTTTTTTAAAAAAGGATGAGAGTTATCCTATATTCATTCATTCAACAAATACTTATTGAGCAACTACTATGTGCCAGGCTCTGATTCGGAGTCAGGGATGTAGCAGTAAACACACACACACACACACACAAGTTCCCATGCTCAGGAAGCTCACACGCTAGAAAGACAAACATATAGCCTTGTTCATGTAACTTAATATTCTTGTTTATAAACTTTCTGATAATAAGTAAAATTAATCTTGGTTTCTCTGAATTATTTCCCTTAGCTCTAATGAATAAAAAATGTTAAGCTAGCTTTTAAAGATGGCATTGGGAACTGGGAGGAATGCTACATAAATGCACCAACAAGAATCCTTGAAAAAAGAGATTTCAAAGGCTCTTCTACAATAAAGTATTAAAAAAACAACAACTTTGAGTTATGTTAGAGTTCTCTCACTTCTTACTAGTGGCATAAATTTTTTAAATAAGTGGGGAAAAGATTTTACAACTTTACAAGAAATAATGCAAAGCTACCCTCTTGCTATTTAAAGCCTTTTTTTTGTTTGTTTGTTTTACAGTTGTGAGTACATGAAAGACACAGTGACAAAAAGCTTGAAAATCTCCACTCCCTTTATGAGTCCGGAAACTGAATGGAAATGAACAAATACCTGTAAAAATACAAGACACCTAGTCAACTACTGAGAGGGCAGGGGGGTTTTCTAGTTTACAAACCACGCCCACCACTACTTCACACTTCCTCTGGAAGCCTTTTGCAATTCCCCTTTTACAGATGAAACAAGTCAGAGAGAGGGAAGGACCCCTCTAGGTCCTGGAGGGAGTTAGGAACAGAACACTGAGGAATCCCAGACACAGGGCCTGCTACCTGCACCCCACTGGCTGCCAGTATCTGGGTGAATCCATGGAAGAAACAAGGTCAAACATTTGAAATGGCCCGGGGCCCTGATGTAATTTGCCAACTTTTAAAGAAGAAGTTGATTCTTATTCCTGGACTACATAAAGCATACAAAAATATTTAAAATGGAAAAATGAGATGAATAAAGGCAGCACATAAAAAGGAAAGAAAACAGCAAGCAACTAGTAAGTCTGAAGTTTGCTTTTTCTCTAGAGCACCCTGTACTGAGGCAGCTTTGGGCATGTTTCTTTCCTGCTTCGCTGATCCGTGAAGAATTCCTGCAGGAACTTCTTAGCACTTAACAACTAAACACCCCAGGACCCTTAATCAGCTGAAATTCTTCGGCTGCCAAATAAATGCTGGTAGGTAGATACAACTGAGAGATAACATTATGGGGTTTCCTTGCTTGTTCTAAAACAGTGCAAGAGAATTAGATGGACTTTTTAAAAATCTTGTATTTCACACGACTGAGGACTGGTTGATCTCAGGTCACTTCTATCTCCAGTTACTGGTTTGTTTGTTTTTTTTTTAATCCCTCAACAGAGTTCTCTCTGCAAGCTCTTCCACTTTTTACAATTAAAGCACTCTGAGCAGCCCTTGCCACTCCACTGAAACTGCCCGGCACGGCCAGCCACGGTAACCTGAGTGAGCAGTCCAGTCCTCTTCCCACTTGACCTCCAGAACCGTTTGACAGGGCTGACTTTGCCTTCTGGAACCTCTGTCTCAGCTTCTGCAGTGAGGCCTTGCTTCTCGGTCTTTGCTGCTTCCTCCTCTTCTTTGCCCAAGGAGTCGTTCATGGATCCTCCACACTAATTCCCTCACTGAGAAGACCGTCTACATTCTATGGCTTTAAATACCATCTCTAACGAAGACAGAGTTGTATCTCCAACTTATCTCTCCTAAACCCTAGAGTTCTCAAATTGCTTATTTGCTATTTTGATTTGGATATCTCAAAAACATCTCCATCTCAAAAAAAAAAAAGAATGAAATCTATAGTCAAAATCTCACTTGTGAACATAGAGGAAAAGTCCAGAATGAGTCCCTGGCTAACCAAGTCCACACTCGTATTCCTCACGTGGTAGGCGGGGACAGGATGAACAAGTCAATCACTGGCTTCATTACAATGTGGAAAAGAAAGACTCACAGTTCAAATGTAATTTTCTCTGTACATATCAACACGGCATTCATTGGCCGGTAGCATCTATTCTTGATTAAAACTACACATAAAACAAAACCCCACAATGAAGAGTATTTTTTTAAATATTTTATTTATTTGTCTTTAGAGGGGAAGGGAAGGAGAGAGGGAGAGAAACATCAATGTATGGTTGCCTTTCGTGCATCCCCTGCTGGGAACTAGCCTGCAGGAAACTGGTCTGCAACCTAGGCATGTGCCCTGACTGGGAATCGAACCGCGATTGTCTGGTTCGCAGGCCCGTGCTCAATCCACTGAGCTACACCAGCCAGGGCCGATGAAGAGTATTTAAAAGGAGATAATGCTAACTTAATGGAGATACACTAGAATGGCCTCATTTCAGACCCAGAAGCAACCTTAGTAATTAAAATTCGACTCCCTCATTTTTCAGATGAAGAAACAAGAGAAACAAGGCTCAGAGAGATTAAGTAACTTGCCTAATGTTATTCAGCTAACATATGGCAGAGCCAGGACTCAAACCCACGTCTTCTAACTCCAAGTCTGAGGCTTTCTGTCATCATTACTATTTTATATATCGTGAGACATTCTGGCAATTGCTATTAGGGGGAAAAGAAACAAAGAAGGTATCATGCATAGAAAATGAAGAAATACAATGTCACACTGCAGAACACATCTGCCCCTCTGGCAGGTTCGAAGGTGAGAGGCGTGGTTGTCAGAGGAAACCAACCCGCACCCTCATGTGTGCCAGAGTCTCAGCTCAAACCACGGGCAACATCTCCACTCACAACAGTGATGAAAGCACTAAGTTATCGAGTCCTTGGATGTTCTGGGGCCACAATAATTCTTATTCAAAGGAAATAAAACTTTAATGGGAGAAATAAAATACAAGACCTCTACCTCTCCTAGCTGGACTTAGTAAAATAAAAAGGAGAATTCTTTCCAAGTTAATAAATAGATGAAATAAACTACTGCTAGTTAAAATCCCTGAGATATTTTTCTAAATGTTAGAAACACTGCGATAAGAGAAAAATGGGACTATCAAAGAATATTAATGAGAAATGATGACAGATTCAAGTTTTTGTTAAATATTTAACCCATACAAAAGAACATCAGTATCATGGGTAAGATAGAGGAAATAACAATAAAATGAATATTGATGTACTCACTACCCAGCTGAAGAAATATACAATTGCCGGTATCTCTGAAACCCCCGTGTGGCCCACCCAGTGAACACGCCCCTTACCCGAGCCCTCCAGAGATCGCCAGTATCCCGAATTTTGTTTTCATCGTTCTCTCGCTTTACTTTGTTTCCCAAGAGTATAGCCAACCTTGAACAATACAGTGTAACTATATAATGAGGGCCCACCCAGTTTGGGTGCCTGGAGGAGGGAGAGGGACTCCCTCGACCCGCCGCAGATGAGGGGCGGGAAGTGCTACAGAGAGGAGCTAATGTTTGACTGGGCCTTGAAACACCAGACAGATCTGACAGGAAAAGAAAAAAACACATGCATATTGAAAGCTCGCAATGGTCTAGGTGCTGGCTAGGCACTTAAGTGTCCTTCCAGAAGAGGGACCACACAAAGCCCCAGAGATGTGAAAATACAAGGGTGTGTCTGACTTTCTTTCCCCTTAGAAATGCCCACTGGCGCCGTGGGAGACCCTGGGCCGGATCCACCGACAAGGAAGAAGGTTCGTCAATTCCTGTTCCCTTATTCACATGGGAAAACCCATTAAAGAGGAACTGTTTCCTTTACTTTTAGGAATCTCCGTCCGAGCAACGATCAGAGACGGATGTCAAGATGCACTCACAGGGCTCACAGACAGGAAGCTAATGGCCGACCACCGCAGCTGGGTCGGTGACCACTCTGCAGTGGTCAGGAGCAGGCTGTCGGAGGTCAGTGAACGGCATGGGGAGAACCACACCCACATTAAGTGAGGAAGAGCAGGTTACAAAACAATATGACCCCAACCTTATGGGAAAAAAGCAAAACATATTTTCTGAAGACTGAAAAAGAAATCTAATGTTCAAGAACTCTGTATGGACTGGGATTATGGGTGATAACCTTTGTCCTTGTTGTCTATTTTCTACAGTGAATATGCTTTACTCTTCAGCAATTAGATAGCAGCCCTGGACGATGTGGCTGCGTTGGATGGAGCATCGGTCCATTAACCAAAAGGTCTCGGGTTGAACTTCCGGTTGGGGCACTGGCCTAGGCCGTGGGTTCGGTCCCCAGTGGGGCCACGTACAAGAGGCAACCAATGAATGTTTCCCTCTCACATGGCTGCTTCTCTCCCTCTTTCTCACCCTCCCTTTCTCTCTCTCTCAAATCAATAAGCATGTCCTTGGGTAAGGCTTAATAATAAATAAACAAACAAACAAATAAATGTTAGACTACCGCACACCAAGAGATGTTATTTAAACACGCCCACGGGATGGAACACAGGCCCCGGTGGCTCACCTTTGGCAGGGTGGGGGTGGGGCAGGTGTTCTCAAACAGCACTGAGTTGAAGAGCCCGTAGATTCCCTCATCCAGGTGGTACACGATGGTCTTGGGGACAGAACCGGTCTCATCTGCAGGGAGGAAGGGGCCCGTGACAAGCAGCAAGACAAAGGGGTGAGAGTGGGGAGCTGGCGCAATGGTGGGCTCCACGGGGACAATGGGCTGCTGAAGCGAAAGGGCTGCCTCTGCCTCAGCTATGGGCCGGCGTCTGCCCCCTCCTGTGACTCGAGGGTCACTGCCTTCTTGGAGACAATCACGCTTGTAGCCAAGCAACCCTGCCCAAGACACATGCCTCGCCTGCAACTGAGCCTCTTGAGACCCCAGTAAAGGCAGAAGAGCAGTCCACCCAAACTCAGGCTCCCCCCAGAGGTTAAGCCACGTACTCAGAGGCCAACACTGGGGCAGAGCATGAATGAGGAGCCAGGTCTGCTGCTGGGACTAGAGAGGACAATTCCCCAGATCCATAAAGGAGGCCAGAAGAACGCCATTCACACACACACACACACACACACACACACACACACACACACACACATTCTACCTTAAGCCCGCCACCCCTCCACACGGATTCTCTTGTGGGACTGCTGAGAGGACTGATCTAGCCAGAAGGGCAGGGAAGAGTGATGATTTTAGCAGTGTGGGCACAGACATCAGAGTCAGACCAGCCTGAACTTGCATCCTAGCACTGCCCCTCATCAGCTGTGTAACCTTGGGCAAGTGACTCAACCTCTCCATGCCTACATCTGTCATCTGTAAAGTAGGCTTAGACAAACAGACGTTGTCATTCATTATTTTCCCTATGTCATGAGATGCAGTGGGGTGAGCACAAGGCGGTGCACAGGAGAAGAGACAAACATGGGATCAAGTGCAGGCTTTGCTTCCTACTAGCTTTTAAGTAATTCACTTGTATTTGCTTTGGTTCTCAGTTTCCTCATCCATATAATACAGTTAATAAAGTATCCATTCTACCTAAGGTTGTTTTTATTTTAATCTTCATAAAATATGAGCATGCAGAGGAAAAATGATGTTAAATAAGTGTCTCAGGGTGCGGCAACTTGATTGTAAGTTTCCCTACAGCAAGGACACAGTTTCTAGACTCCCTACTCCCTAAAGCCAGACCCTGCTCAGCCAGCCAGTCCCTACCTTCAGGGGAGAATGGGGCTCTGCGCTGCCCACCTGGCACCTACCCTCCCTGCCAGGCTGCTCCAGGAGAACCTCCTTCTTGGCGATGATGCTGACTGCCAAGGTGAAGGCCGAGCTCACGTAGTAACGACCCAGCTGGGCCAGGATATCCACACCACAGCCCTCCGGGAAGTACAGGTCCAAGGCTGAGTTGATCACAGAAGCGATCTGGTGGTAGGAGGGCAGGGGGTGGACAGTTACATGTTTGAAGTGTGGGGTTTATGCCGAAGACCTACTACAACTCCAAGTCTATTTTTTGAGAGCTGCTTGAATTTCAGAAAGAAGGACTTGGCAGCTAGGCGCTAAGGCCCCAGCTGGTAACCAGGGACGGCTGGCCAAGAAGGTGGGTGGGAGGCAGAGTGGGTTCAGGCCCCTCCCCCTGTGTCCCTCCCCCTTCTCAATGCCCCCCAGTGAGAAGAGGTACTCTCAAATAACTCTTGGTGCTAAGATTCCAGAAGCCCTGGTGTGGATTTTTCTTTCATAAAAAACTAATCTGTTAAATGCCATATTTTTTACAGAAAACACTGACAAGAAAAAAGAAGATCAAACCACCCCTAATTTCAGCATGGACGGACCTAGAGGGTATTATGCTAAGTGCAATAAATCAGAGAAAGACAAATACCGCATGGTTTCACTTAGATGTGGAATCTAAAGAACAAAATAAACAAACGAACAAACTTGAAACAGACTCATAAACACAGAAAACGGACTGATGGTCGCCAGAGGGGAAGGGGCTGGGGGACTGGGAAGGAGGGAAAGGGATTAAGAAGGACAGATGGGCAGTTACAAACCAGTCACAGGATGTAAAGTACAGCACAGAGAATATGGTCAATGATATTGTGGTAACACATTGCAAAGTATAATCATGTACTTTATACTACTCTGAAACTAATACAAAATAATGTTGAATGTAAACTGTAATTGAAAAAAAACTTTAAAGTTTTTTCAAAAAAAAAAATCACTCCTTCCCTGGCTGGTGTGGCTCCGTTGGCTGGAGCATTGTCCTGTAAACGGGAAGGTTGAGTGCAGGTTCAATTCCCAGCTGGGGGCACATGCCTAGGTTGTGGGTTTGGTCCCAGGCAGAGCATGTGTGAAAGGCAACTGATGGATGTTTCTCTCCCTCTCTCTCTCCCTCCCTTCCCTTCTCTCTAAAATCAATGAGCATGTCCTTGGATGAGAAGAAAAAAAATCACTCCTCCTTCTATTATCCAGATAAACCTAATCATTGTTAACTTTTTGGAGTAGCTCCTTTAATTCTTTTTTCATGCAAACACTGTTTTTTATAGTAAAAAAGCTAGAGCTATACACATATGTTTTTTATAACCTGTTTTACTCAGGAGACTGTGAATGGCCTTTACATGTAAGTAAATGTCTCCACCATAAGAATGTTTCATCATTTCACCGGTCCCCGAGAGTTAGATGGACCAAGGAAGTGCAGTGGAATTCTGTGACGTACAAGGCTGCAGTGCTCATCTGTGAGGCTAGTTCTTTGTGTCTATAGTGAATTATTTTCTCAGGGACAGCACTTTGATGTAGATATTCCAAGATGAAGCTCTTACTACTAAGGAGAAGCGTCCCCTAGTGGTTGGAGTGGAGATTGCGATGACACATTTTTCTGCATTTCATCTCGTAGATGGGGGAGGTGGACAGGTTTGCTTTCCTTTTCCTGCCTTCTTCCCATTTGATTTCTTATCAGCCCAGACCTTCAGAGAGCTTTATGACTTATGGAAATATGGCCTGGTTGAGCCTCAAATATGTGCGTGAGCTGGAGTCAGGCAGAGCTGCGTGTGCAGCCAGCTCTACCGTGGACTCAGGCAGTGACATGACACCTACGAGCCTCCTTTGCTCAGCAGTAACACAAGGTTAATAAGATCCAGGCAAAGCACCAAGCGCAGCACTTAGCACATAGGACTCTCGCAGAGGCTTCCTATCTTCATTATAACCTTCCCGCCCCGCCCCCACCCCCATCCCCACGGAGCTCAACACGTGCTTGCAGCCCCAGCGTTACCTCTTCGAATCTCACTTTGGCCCCCTCCACTCCAGGAAAGCCACCACCAAGGTCCAGGATATGCATCCTGTGGCCCAGCTGGGCGCCCATTTCAAACACAACTCGGGCGTCTGCGATGGACTGAGCATAGGCCTGAGGGTCAGCACAGCCACTGCCGAGGTGAAAGCTGGGAAAGGAGGAAAAGCCTCGGCTTACAAGCAGAGCCGCAGGTGCCACCACCTCAGCCCCAGCCAGGAAAGGCACACTAGGCTCAGTGCCCACGTGGCAGATGTGATGACTGAGGGCCTAAAAGGTTAAATGGGTTGCCGTGGGCCATGTGGCAAGTGAGGAATGGGCATTCTGCCACTAAGGCAGGGAATTCTGGGATGAGGGCCAGGACCCCAGGCTGGGGTCCCCTCCATCAGCAGTGTGGCCTGCCTGGGCTTCGGTTTCCCCATCTGTAAAGTGGGGAGAAGACCCCACAAGGCTGTGAGATAATGTATATGGAACGTTTAGCACAGGGCCTGGCATGTCGTAAGTACAGATAAATGAGAGCTATGTTGTTAGGTCATTGCCACTACTTATTCCATGCCCCTCCAAGGAGAGAAGCAGAGCAAAGGTGTGGCCTACAGGCTGGTAAAACTCCTGCAAAGCCAGGTCCCTCCTGGGACCTCCTGGGACACCTGGGGACTGTGGGGTTGGGGCAGCAGGATTCACCAAACCTTTCCAGAGAGAGGAAACTCTCACATGGCAGAATCCCATGCCCAGGGGCAGGCCCTCCCTGGAGGACCTCAGGGAGTGCTCATAGAGTTGATTAACTCCCAGGAAAGAGGCAATGAGCCTGGTGTGGGTGGAGGGGGTGGGGCTTCCAGGCACTCACCTCACACCTACCACCTCCACATGGCTCTCCTTAGCCTTTTGAAGCAGGTGTCTGCAGGATTTTAGCAATGCTCCAAACTTGAGGCTGAGGTGGCTCAGGGACTGGGAGTCATCAGTGGCGATGCACAGAACCATTCTGGGGAGACACGCAGCGTACCTCCGCCAGGTAGACCCCACCTCCCCCACCCCAACCACTTTTCTGAGTCAAGAGATGTGAAGCCAGCAGCTCAGAGCCGCCCAACCCCACGAGTCCTGGGCCCCCTTCTCTTCCTACGCAGCCCATCAGCCTCTGAGCCCCATTCCATCCAGTCCGTAAATGTCCCCGGGTCCTTCCTGCAGTCCCTGCCCTGGTCAGACACCACCTGTTCTCCCTGGCAGCTCCACTTCCTCTAAACCAGCCACCACACCAGCTAGGCTTTCCCAGCTTTCTTTGTAAGAGGAGAACTATTTTATTTTTCAAACACAGTCTTATCTAGAACCCCAAGATCATGTGTAACAGACAAAACAGAAGCTGCGGTGGGTGAAGCAGAGCGCCCACCACCTGGCCTCCTCTTCGCCCCCAGGTCCCTCCCTGGAATCTCCAGGGTGCTAAGTGACCGTGTGAGGGCCTCAGCCTGAGCAAAACACCCAGCAAGGCCCATTTGCATCAGGTCTCTGCCCCATGACCAGCATCATTCACTGTCCCCGTCACCTCTCACCCCTCACCCATGATGTCTTCCAGTCTCACCAGATTTCTGCTTATCCCACAGACGGCCCATGCTATGTCAACCTCCATGCATTTGCTTATGCAGCTCTCTCTGACACACTGTTTGTGCCCTCCCCAAACTGGGTTCAGTACTCAAGGCCCACCTCCAACACAAGCTCTTTCATGAAGCTTTCCCAACCACCCTCTCCAGTTCTCTCAGCCATGCCTCTGACAGAGTCAGGCCCTGGCACCCTGGGTCCAGTCCAAGGGTGCTTGCCCCAACCTCCTGTGACCCTGGCTGGGTCCAAGGCAGGGTCCCTGGCTCCAGCTCCACCCCTCCCACCCTCTCTGCCTCCCCACACGAGTGGCTCTCAGCTTACTTGGCAGTGGCGTGGCTCTTCACCACCTTTGCCAGCTCCATCTCATTGTCGAAGCTCAGCAGCCGGACCCCGTGCTTGGCAGCATACTTGATCTGCGCAATTTGCTTACAGGGATGGGCGTAGATGATCTTACTGGCAGGGATGCCAATACGCTGGACCAGCTCCATCTCTGTCTGTGGGGTCCCAAAGGTGGAGGTGAGGAGGCAGCAGGGCCTGCTGGGCCCGCAGAAGCCAAGGAAACACAGATGAGAGGCAAAGTCATAGCTATGCACGCAGAGGTCCATAAGAAGTGGGCCTCACTGTTAAACAACAGACACACATGCAAAAGTCAGGGTCATGTTGCTTCACCATTCGTGGCCAGGCAGGGCTGCCACGCCCAGCTGCGCAGGCAAGGCACCGCGCGGGCCCAGGGTGTCCATTCACGGAGGACATGTGGTAAGTTTGTGTACTTAGTGCAGCCTCCTGACAATATAGCACCCCCTTCTTACAAAATCAGTATATTTATTGTAACAGTTGAGTGTTTCAAGGAAGGGGTACATTTTTTTTAATGGCTTTAGAGAGAAAGACACTGATTTATTGTTCCACTTATTTAGTCATTCATGTAGTTGATTCTGCTTATGTGCCCTGACCAGAGATCTAACCTGCAAGCTTGGCATACAGGGATGACACTAACCCACTGAGCTAACCAGCCAGGGAAGGGTGCATTTTCTAATCCACACAAAGGCATTGTAAGGACTCATGGTGGCCCTAACTACAGACTTCTGATACATTTTCCTGGCAGATGTAAATGCTTAGAGGATATTAGCTGACGTGTTAGAAAGTTCACAAGACCAGGAGTCTTTATGACACAGGCCTGCTTGCCTGCATGGCGCTGTGCAGGTGACTCCTGTGAGCTCCACCCCCACAGGGCTGCCTCCCCCTCACCCCTACAGAACACTGCTGGTGATTACAATGACAGCCACCATGGGCATGGAGCGCCTACCTCGAGCAGGCACCCAGTGCGACACCTCCTACATCCGGTGACGGCAAACTCTTTCTACACAGGACCAGAGAGTAAATAGTGGAGGCTCTGTAGGCCACACAGCTTCTGTCACAACTACTCCGCTGCCACTGCAGCACCCAACTAGCCATAGACACTGTAAAGTGATGAGCTGGATGGGGATCCAATAAAACTTTACAAAAGCAGCAACTGGCTGGATTTGGCTCACCGTGCGGTTTGGCACCCCTTACTGTGCATTAACTCTGTCACGTGCTCCTTACGATAACCCCACCAAACGGGTATTCGCTCCCTTCTACAGAGCAGGAAGCTGAGGCTCAGAGAGGCCATGCAGCAAGTGGGCAGCAGAACCAGCTTTCAAACTCAGGCCTGACTCTCTGTGACTGAGGGTGGGAGGTCAGTTTAGAAACAGGAAAGGAGGCACAGGGCCATCCCGAGTTTGTAATAAGACTCTAATTTTAATTTAGTCACTTTTCAGCACAAGGTATTTATGTGCATTATCTCTGGTGATGCCTATAACTGTCCTATGAAATATTTACTGAGGACAGAGAGGTCCCCCTGCCTGTGGCAGCACAGCCAGGAAGTCAGTGAGGCAGGACACAAAGGTCCGGCTGCAGAGCCGGAGTAGCCGCCCTGAGTCTGGGTGGATACGAAGCGGTTCCCCTCCCAGCTTCAGCATGTGAGGCGAGAAGCAGTGCTAGCACCTTGGGGGCCTGACGTTTAGCTTTGCTTATAAATATTTAAATAATAATCACTGCAATCATGGAGAAATGCAAGTCAAAACCACAATGAGATTGCACACGTGTCAGAATGGCTATCGCTGGAAATACCAGGCACAGGCAAGGATGTGGCAGAAAGGGACTCCTCACACACTGTTGGAGGGAATGCAAACTGGCGCGGCCACTATGGAAAACAATACGAAGATTTCCCAACAAAATTAAAAATAGAACTGCCATATGACCCAGGAGTCCCTCTTCTGGATGTTTATCAGAAGAAACCAAAAACATTAATTCAAAAAGATATATGCACCCCTGTGTTCACTGCAGCATATTTGCAACAGCCAAAATATGGAAGCAACCTAGTGGTCCATCGGTAGACGAATGGATGCAAAAGATGCAGCATACAGACACAGTGGAATATTACACAGCCATCAAAAAGAATGAAATCTTGCCATTTGTGACACAATGGATGGACCTAGAGCAATTTATGCTAAATAAAATTATTCTGAGAAAGACAAATACCATATCGTTTCACTTATATGTGGAATCTAAAAGACAAACAAAATAAAATACAAACAGCTTCATGGATATGGAGAACAAACTGATAATTACCAGAGAGAAAGGGAGTAGAGGGAGGAAAAAAATGGTGAAGGGGAGTAAGAGATGAAATTTCCAGTTATATAACACATTAGTATGGGAATGTAGTGTCCAGCACAGAGAATACAGTCAACACCACTGTAACTCTCTGTGGTGACTGCTGGGTGGTGGCCATCACTGAGAGAGGTGCACTGATGTCTAATCACAGTATGATAGACCTGAACCAGCATAATATTTCCATCCTGCCAGTGATGAAAACGGTTTCAAGGGTTTCAGGAAGGGAAATTACATGCTCAGGTCTGCATTTTAAATGCAAGTCTAAATGCACATCTGTGTGGCCTTGACTGGTGTGGCTTAGTCGGTTGGGCATTATCCTGCAAAGCAAAATGTCACTGGTTTGATTCCCAATCAAAGTACATGCCTGGGTTGCTGGTTCAGTCCCTGGTCAGGGCGTGCACGAGAGGCAGTTGATTGATGTTTCTGTCTCACATCAATGTCTCACTCTTTCTCTTTCTCCCTCCCTTCCCTCCCTCTGAAAATAAATAAGTAAAATGTAAAAATAACCTTAAATGCATGTCACTCTGGCCACCCAGAAGGTCCCGAGGGCACTGTGGGGAGACTATCACAGTCACCATGGCAGAGATAACAGAGTCTGCACTAGGAAGGCAGGGCTGGTGAGCCTGGTGGTGGAGTACGTGTGGGGAAGCAGGGTGAGGACGTCTCAGTGGACTCCATGCACAGCAGACCAAGCGAGGCTTCCGGATGGGAGGATCATGAGTACATTTGAAAACACTGGATGCCAGGCACCCTGGTACATTATCGAGCCAGCAGCTTGTTATATAGGTCTGGGGAGTAGAATCAAAACATGGGAAGCGGCATATCAATGGCATTTAAAGCCACAGGAAGAGATGAAATTCCCTAAGCAGAGAGGGAGTTTACAAGAGAAGGGAGCCTGAGCCAGAATCCACAGGAACCCTCCCACTGACAGAGCAGAAGAGAATGAGGAAAGCTGGCTCCCAGGACCTGCATAGAAATGAAAGGAGAGAGAACGCCTCCACAAGAGGCAGAACGCTACAGAGATTCCAGTGCCATTTCTGTCCAAGCAAAGCCTGTCCTACAAGTTGCGTCCGTATGGAAGGTGGTGTCTCCATTATCGAGGCACCAGTGAGGGTGGGGCAGGGCCAGAGCAGCATTCGATTTCATCTGACACACGTCAGAGGTCTTTAAAAGTAGGAGCATCTGTTATTGTTGAGTGTGGGGTTTTTTTTCATTTTTATTTTAGAGAGGGGAAGGGAGGGAGAAAGAGAGGGAGAGAAACATCAATGTGCGGTTGCCTCTCACATGGCCCCCACTGGGGACCTGGCCTGCAGCCCAGGCATGTGCCCTGACTGGGAATCGAACCTGCAACCCTCTGGTTTGCAGGCCTGCGCTCAATCCACTGAGCTATACCAGCCAGGCTTGAGTGTGTTTTTTTAAGAGACTACGTGGTTAATGGGGGAGTTGCTACTCAACGGGCATCAGGTCTCAGTTCTGTAAGATGAGTAGTTCTAGAGATCTGCTGTCCCACATTGTGCCTACTGGACTTCAAAAAAAAAAGCCCCCTGTGTTGAATATTGTTGAGGCCAAACAGTAAGAGAATCAAGGAGTGTCCCCAACAAGGTCAAAAGCACCAACATAGGCGGCTCGCCAACACCTGCCAAATGGCAGGCTACCGCCGAACAACGCATGCCACGTGACCACCTCTTCTATTTTATTACAAAATCACAAGATACGTTTTCTATAAATCACATTTGCAAGTATTTTTAAAATATGAGTATACCCACCAAACTCAAATTCATAGTGGCAATCATCTCCAGAGACACAAAGCTGATGTCCTACGCGTGTGTGTGTGAATGAATAAACACATATATTAATTGAATGACTCAAAATGAAGATTTAAAATAAAGTGTTCACTGAATCCAGATCACTGGGGACATCTGTAAGAGGAGGTACCTTGGAGCAGTGAGAGTGGAGGCCAGGAAGCAATGGTGTAAGGATTGGGTGCTAAGGGAGAGTGACAAGTGAGTGCAGACACGCGAGTGCAGACAACTCATTTTGGCTATGAAGAAAGAGCAAGGGATCAGGGTGAGAAACGATGGTGTGTTCGGGGAAACGCTTTTGAAGATAAAAGCACACTAGGGGAGACAGCAGGAGACGGCAAGCGATGGGGTCAGGGGAGATGACATGAGCTCTTTGGGAAGGTGGGTAGACCAGAGCTCTGTGCAGGGTGTGGTCTGTGCCCTTGACCCCCAGGCCCTCTGACACCAATTGCTACACCCAGCCCCAGCTCACTGCCAAGCCCTCCATCACTGTGCTAAGCACAGACACCGGCTATGGCTGACCAGAAGAGGGCAGCCTCGGACTTCCAAAAAAACCTGGGTGTCCCACAGCCAATTCTTAGCAAATGCAACCAAAGGTCTGCGTGATCCCACCCACCAGGAGGGGTACTTGGCCTCTCCCAGGCCTAGTAGCATCTGTCACCAGCCTCATCCCAGCTCAGCCCTCCCCTCTCTAGGATCCTGGAAAAGAGCCGCTCTAGCATCGGAGCCCATTGCCATACACCAGCAGCCGCTTCCCAGCAAGTCACTCAGCCTCTGCCGCTTTCTTTATACATTAAATGTGTCCTCAGAGGACTGTTGTCAGAGCCATGGTAATAGTAATTACCTCATGGGGTTGTTTCGAGAATAAGATGAGATCATGTACAGAAAATGCCTGGCAAAGCCCCTGGCACTTCAGAAGCACTCAGCAAATGGTAGATGCTTTTAAAGCCCCCACTGACTTCAAGGCCTTTCTAAGCCCAACACACCCTTTGGAGGCAGCCCCTGAGCCTGGCAGGCCAAGAGCGCCCACTCTGGGTTTCCAGAAGCAGACGACTTGAGTCGGTGGGGTTCGGTCCTGTTCTTCACCCCTAGACCAAGGGGCCCAGAAATGGATCTCCCTCCTCTTTGCCCAGAGCAGAGGCCCAGTGTATGCAGGGCAGAGTCCTGGCTCTGCTACTGGTTGGCCCCCAGTTTGCTCAACTGTAAAATGGCAATCTCTCTTCCCACGCCCCTCACAGGGCTTTATGTGACAGACGCACAACTGGGCGTGCAAAGCAAGAGCTAATGCAATGGGGCTTTGTGGGTGAGAGAGACTCATCTATCAGAAGCAGCATTTCCATTATTCCCTGAAAAAGATCAAGCTACTCCCGACAGTCCCACCCTGGTGCACACCTGTCTCCCACTGGAATCCCACCAGCCCTGTCGTCCTGGCCAGGCTAGCCCTTCTCCCTCCCCCCCCAGGACCCCCTTCTAAAGCCCTCCTCACAACACCCAGTCACACTGCTGCCTTTAAGAGGGGTTTTTTAAAGGATTCCCCTCAAAATAATCATTACTAGCCATTACAAAAAATAACAGTAATGACAATAACACAAACCAGTGCCCACCAGGCACCTCAGGGCCTTTGTACGTGTTGTTCCCTCTGCCTAGAATGTCCTTCCCCTCGTTATCCACCCACCGTGATCCTTTGCTTCCTTCAGGTCTGTATTCAAATTTCAGCAAAGCCTTCCTTAGCCAAACTATCTAAAAGTGCCATCTTCTCTCCAAACATGCCTTACTTCCCTTTCCCACTTTAATTTTCTCCATCTAAAATACTATACACTTTCTTTTTAAAAAAAATATATGTTTATTGGTTAGAGAGAAAGGGAGAGAGAGAGAAACATTGATGCAGGAGAGAAGCATTGATCAGTTGCCTTCCTGTGCTCCCTGGCTGGACTGAACCTCCAACCTAGGCATATGCCCTGACCAGGAATTGAACCTGCAGCCTCCACAGCCTTCTGGTGCATAGGACGATGCTCCCACCCACTGAGCCACACCGGCCAGGGCAATACTATGCATTTTCACTGTTTAAATTATTTAACTTATTTTAGAAAGGAAGCTCCAGGAAGAAAGGGCTTCTTTGCTGTTTTGTGCACTTGCTAAGTCCCCATCCAGACAGTTAGCTTCTCGGCAAATGTCTGCTGAATTCACAAATGTATCCAAAGCTGGGCTCTGAGGAAGCCTTATAGCTGAAAGGGCTTTTTTCAAGTAAGAACAGAATTAAAATAGATAAGCTAGTGTGGTGATGAAAAATAGGTGAGCTCAGCTTTCAACTAAAGGACAGCAGAGTCTGTCTTCCTCTGTGGCCAGCCCTGCCTATCATAGTGACCAGCACTGTGACCAGCGCATCACAGGAGCTCAATGAATAAAGAATGATAGTAAATAAATAAAGTAAGTCTAAACTGAGCAGTAGAGAATTGAGACAACAGCATTAATAACATTAGAAAGGTGGAAGAATTGGCACCGAACGACAAAACTCTAAAAGGATTGGTCAAGAAAATGCAGTCACCTATTATTAAGATTATAAAAGAAAACAAAACCAACAGTAGAAGGGTGTTTTTGCTTTTAGTTAAAAGCCATATGTATAGTGTCATTTATAGCTCTATGCTGAGAAGTTTGAAAACCTCTATTTAAAAAGATGACCCAAAAATAAAAATTAAAAAATGACCCCGCGACCCCAGGGACACACATGGTTCCGATTTGCACCTTCAAGGCTGGCAAATGCCATGCTTCTTTCTCCCTCCCTCATCCCTTAAACCCCCTTCCAAGCCAATGGCCATTCCAGAGGGCAGAGGCCAACTGCAGGTCACTCCTGCCTCCCCAGGGCCCACCCACAGCAGCCCAGCAGCCATGCGTGTGCTGAGCAGGCAGCGAGGGTCAGTGTGCTGGTGGGGGCAGCGGCTCACCTTGTTGGCACAGCTGAAGCCCAGCCCCAGCTCAGCCAGGACCTTCAGCACGCCCAGGCTGCTGTTGCACTTGACAGTGTAAAAGGGCCGGACTCTAGGCAGGCACTTCAGAAAGCGGAAGTGCTTCCTCACTACCGCACCCAGGTCAGCCACGAAGAAGGCAGTGACCTCCCCCTGCACAACAAGACGGGTGAATGTAAGACCCTATGCAGCTCCCTCCTGCATGCCATCCCTCATCCTCACAAGCATCTGCCCCAAGCTTGGCTGTGGCCACAAAGCACCTTGCTCTAAATTCTCTAGGGCTTTCCAAGTCTACAGGACAAAAGGCAAACTCCCCAGCCTGGCATCTGAGGATCTGTAATCCAGCCCTTGTCCCTCCCCTCGCTGCAGCTCAAACTCCAGCTGCAGGCTGGAGTCTTTATTTTCCCACCTCCAAGTCTCTGTTCCCAGCATGCCCTCCACAGAGAATACCCTTCCCCAACTTGTGTTTGGCAAATTCCTAGTCTACCTTCGGGTTTCATCTCCAACGCCACCTCCCCCAGACCAAGAAAGCAACCCTGCTTTTAAGGTTCCCACTGCATTTTGCTCTTGCTCCCAAAGTATCAGAACTCTGTATGCATCTATCTTCTCCAGAAAAAGATCAATTCCTTGAAGGTCAAAGCTGTGGTGGCCTACAACCCACTGCTTTTTACATATCGGTGCCCAGTGAAGCCTTGAGGTAGTTCCACTGCCACTGCAACCCATGCCTGTGAACAAGGGGCCTTAAAGGATTTGCTGAGCATGGAACACGAGGCTATGGGTGAGTCCACGTAACTGAAACCTTCCCTGGGACTCAGTTTTCCTTTATGCAACACTTTTTTTTTTAAACTGATGCCCACTTGATGTTGGACGTTATGCTAGGGGACAGAAATTACCACATGGGAGTTTTTATGCAATGCAGTGGGGGCCATGGAGAAAGAAAATACAAAAGCTTCCTGGGCAATCAGGGAAAGGGGATTCCGAGGAGTAATAAGGAAAGAGTAGCAATAGGTAAGAGGGAGAAAGGCCAGGAGAAGGGTGTTCTAAGCAAAGGGGTGATAATAGAGCGCATGGCATCATTGAGACTATGACATATACGGGGGAGAAGCTGGAAATTAGGCTAGGAAGGCGGAGGGGTTCTGATTTAACCCTGTAAGCAGTTGGGACCCAGGAAAAGAATTCTAATTTTGAGCAGGGCTGTGCTCAAGTTGGGGTGGGGGATGAGGCAGGGAAGAGGTTGGGGGGCCTTTTGAGAGATGAGGCCAGGACTACATAGAGAGGTTCTGGAGAAGCACACTAGGGGCATTTTAAGGAGGCTGAATTCACAGAGCTTGGTGATGCCTCGATTGGGGGGAGGGGTGTGAGGAGGGGGGAAGAAGGGGCTGCCAGGTTTCTGACCTAGATCTAGGGCTAGGTAGATGATAGTGGTGCTCTCATCAAGGCAGGGAACAGGAGGGGCAGGTTTGGGAGCCGGGACCAGGAACTTGGGATAAATGAACCTGTCTCTTGAAAATAGCAAGGCCCGAATACCAAATAAGTGAAAGAGTAAGAGGAGAACCCCATCAGAGGAGGCAGCTGGGCCTGCATAGGGACAGGGGACCCACCCCCACTCGCAGCCCCTCACCGTGGTGGCCTGTGAGGCCCCCAGAGTGAGTTCCTCCAGTAGGTCTCGGGTGCTGAAGCCCTCCTCCACCATCACAAAGTCCGTTTCACTCAGGTAGCCAGCCATGCCGAGGAGGAGAGGCCGACGGGCTGGATGGAGCCGCCGCTGCCGCACTGCCGCTGTCGCCGCCGCCTTAGAAAGTATGCAACACACTGCCAGGGGGAGAGTGAGGAGGCTGCTGGGCGGGCGTGGATGGGGGAGGGGGCCCCCCTCCGCCGGTCCCCTCACTTCCCCAGGCCCGGGAGCCCAGTCCTGCCACACTGCGCCGCAGCCCTAGCACAGGTCTGGGGAGCTGAGGTTCACTGGGATAGGATTCCACGGAGAATCCTGGACTGGGACAAGGCATTAGACGCCTAGATGTAACTGCCTCCCGAGCCTCAGTATTCCCATCTCTAAATTGATTGGTTGTTTTGAAGATCCTTTCCAATTCTGGAATTCGGATTTTAGTAAAAAAAAAAAAAAGAAAGAAAGAAAGAAAAGAAAAGAAAAGAAAGAGCAAAGGAGCAGGGAAGCCCAGAACCGCGGGTGGCCAAGTTTCCGGCGTGCCCCTGGTCCTGACCACGCCCACCTACACAAGCCTTGGGTGTCTCCCCGCCCCGCCCCCAGCCCCGGGATTCTCCGCGCCAGAGCCAGAGCTTAAGTTCGGGTCCACTCTCTGTTGAGTGACCCTGTGTGCACCCCACCCCCTCTCAGAGCTTCAGTTTCACCGTTTGTAAACGAGGGCTGGCTGATCCAGGAGTGCTAGGATTCTAAGCGTGCATGGGGGCGCCAGGCGGTCTCCAGGGCGAGAACCAAAAGCAGCGGTTCTGTCCTGGGGAGCCCTCCGGAAAGCAGGGCCAAGGTCCCGCTCTACACAACACACACACACACACACACTCACACACCCTTACCAAGCCCCGTCCTCCTTCGCGGGGGCCAGAGCCAGGCGCGCTGCTAGGGGGGATCGCCGGTGACCTCGAAACTTGTGCAACACCCCGAGAAGGAGTGGCAGTTGAGGAGCCGAGGCCCCTGCTGAAAAGAGGCAAGAGGGGCCAGGGGCATATCAGCACCGGAGCAAAGGGCTCCGGCATCCCGAGGCTCTGAGAGGCACTCCCACACTCGCCTTAAAACGCATTTACACGGCTTTTTCCCATAGATCTTCCCAGCAAGTGAACTGGATCCACCGCGCCTCCGCTAGCTCGCTCCCCCGGGATCCGACCCCGCGGCCAGCGACCGCCCGCTCAGCAGCCACGGACTCCAAGCCCCGCCTTCCTCCCGCCACCCACTTATATAAACCCCGCCCAGACTCCGCCCATGTCGCTCAGGCCCCGCCTCCGGTAGCCCCGGCAACCGGGTGCTGCCACCCCATTGGCCAATTCTGACAAAAAGCATTCAACTCTGCCAGCCGGCTCCGCAAACCTGATCCTTAGTTCCCCAGGCTGGTCCCTGCCCACGCTTGGAAATCGGAACTGCAGAGTCGCCACTTCGGCATCTCCGGCTTCTACGCGGTGAGACGCTTAGATCCTGGATTTGGAATTTTAAAGAGTGGGCAGGAAGCCAGATTTCCTATTTGCCTTTTCTGTGACTACCTCCTTTCCTGTGTCGCTCCTCCCTCGAAGTCCAGGTCAAAAGTTACCTTGTATTAATTTCCTAATAAAATCCTTTTCACCTAATTGCCTCTTCCAACATCTTCTCTGATTCCTCCAACTCAAACCCAGCCGGAATGTCTTCAGGGAGCCTTCTTGTTATTTTCCCAGCCCCAGGCAATCCCTCCTTTCATTCCATCCTCTGAATCTGACAAACACCTATCACCTATCAAATGAAATGTGTCTGACTTCCCTATTCACAGCATTTCTTCTTTTCTATACCTGAGAAACTCCTGCTCATCCTTCTAAGTCCTGTCAGGGGAAGGACTATCCTAGTCTGGAGGAGCAATGGAACTCAACGCATGTCTATGCCATGCCGACTCCTCGCTCCTTCAGCTCTGGTTACCCACAAGGTGAGACTCCTGATGTTGTTTTACACTTCTCATTTAGTTGCACTGCTCAGCGAGTTTGTGAGCTCCCAAGATCAGGAACTGAGTGCCTGGCATACACAAGAGTCCAGAAGAAGATTCAATACCTGTGTTACTCAAAGGCTCATTTAAAAGTTCATCTGGAATAGTAATTATATGAGAACAACTAAGACATTCTGAAAAAAGAAGAAAGAGAACTTTCTCCACCAGATAGCAAAGGCTTTTATAAAGCTATAATCTTTGAAACAGCATAGTGGTGGTGCAGGAAGAGACAGTGGTAGAACAGAACAGACTAGAATAGTTTTTTTTTTTAAGATTTATTTATTTTAGAGAGAGGGGGATGGGAGAGAGAAAGAAAGAGAGAAACATCAATGTGAGAAAGAAACATCCTGCCCTGGCTGGTGTGTAGCTCAGTGGACTGAGTGCGGGCCAGTGAACCAAACAACCGTGGTTCGATTCCCAGTCAGGGCACATACCTGGGTTGCAGGCCAGTTCCCAGCAGGGGACGCTCGAGGGGCAACCACACATTGATGTTTCTATCCCTCTCTCCTTTCCTTCCCCTCTAAAGATAAAAATCTTAAAAAGAAAGAAAGAAACATCCATCAGTTGCCTCTCACACACCATCAACCTGAAGCCATCAACCTGGCCCTCAACACAGGCATATGCCCTGACTGGGAATTGAACCAGCGCCCTTTCGATTTGAAGAATGGCGCCAAACCCACTGAGCCACACCAGGGCTAGAATAGTCTCGTGCGTATTGGAGAATGTGGTACATAATAAAGGCAGTACTTCAAATCAGTGGGGCGAAAAGGCATTCAGTCTAACATACTTGTTCATGTCCCTGGTCAGGCTGCAGGCTTCTTGAAAGGCATAGGCACTTCTAGTCCTACCTTAGTATCTGCCTAGGGCACCCTGCACAACCTAATCAGATAATGTAGAGCAGTCACCATTGACTCTGGAAGAGCTATTTTCTGCTCCCCTCTCGGTCTGACTGCTGGTGTCTTTGGGTAAGTCATTTTGCTTAGAGTCATTTCTCCCTGGCTTGAGCTCAGACTGAATGATATCTCCGGGCCCTTCTACCTGGAACCTTCTTGCTTTCTATGCATAGGAACAGTGTTCAGAATGCAGTCAGCTTTACAGGAAAAGGGTAATTTTCAGGCCCATTCTCTGAGAGATTTGTAATCATGTGTACCATAGTATGAATTAGTACTGTGGTCCTCCCGAGAACAAGGAACTACTTACTGGGAGTAGGTAGACCAGAACAGCCATGAATGCATTGTCCAATGGAGCCCTCAAGAAAAGATAACAGTAATAGGAGGGGAGGGGCACCCAAACAAAGTTTGGATCAATTTTTTTTAATCCTCACCTGAGGATATGTTCATTGATTTCAGAGAGAAGGGAAGGGAGGGAGAGAAACATTGATCAGCTGCTTTCCATACACCCCCAACTACGGACCAAACCTGCAATCTAGGCATGTGCCCCAACCGGGAACAAACCCATGACCTTTCAGTTTATAGGATGACCCTTCAACCAACTGAGCCACACTGTCCAGGGTTCTAGTTTTTTTTTTTTAACCATTTTTTAAACCTGGCTGTATTTGGATGCCATGATCTAAGTTCCCCTCGCTAGTTCTTTTCATCCCCTGGTACTGAGGAGGCGCACAGTAGGCACATTCAGTAGGTCGACTGAATTAATCAATGAAGGTAAGAAGAAACAAACCAGAATCTAGTCTGTTCATTTGTTATCTGTCAAGAGTTAGTGGACAGGACACAGACAAACTGGATTTATCTTGTTCCCTACTGGGTGTTATATCACTAAATCTCCATGACAACCCTATGTCACAGGAGCTATCATTGTTCCCATTTTACAAATCAAAAGTCTGAGACCTGGAGTTCAGTAACTTGCCAAGGGTCACACAGCAAGTAAGGATGGAACTAGATTTAAACTTGTGTCTCTGACTCTTAATCTTTATGATTCACTGTCAACCAGTGGCTGAACGTTCTGGCCCCAGCTCAACAAAAATCACCCAGTCATCCTGCTGGCCGCCAGCCCAAAGGTTGGCGGCCCCTCTCCTGCCAGCTTCTCATGCCACTGTTACCCATGGATGCTGTGCAGAGCTCTCTGTAATAAGTCGTTGAAGCGGGACAAGGAGGCTCTGATCTCTGGCCAGGATCATGTCCATCAATTTTAAGCTATTCTCCCTAAACCAATCATAATGAAAGTCATAAACACTGCAAAAAGAAAAATGTCTTATGTGTGTGCCTAGAGCTAGAAAGTTTGCAAAATACTTTTCTGTTGATCATTTTGGGATTCCCAATACTTCATGGGGTTGGCTGTCAGCTAAATTTAGTTTTGGCGGAGGAAAATAGAAAAGGCAAAAATAACCAAGCTGTAAACACATGTTGGTTTATTCTGTGAAGTATGTAGTATATAACACTGGAGGTAAGCAGTCCAAGTCGGTGTGTCAGCTCCACAAAGCCATCAGAAAAACCAGGGGACCTCCTCTCACCTCTGCCATCTTCAGCTCCTCCTTTCTAGCCTCCTGGTCCAAAATGGCTGCTGGAGCTCCAGCCACATTCCCAGGGCTAATATTTAACCAGTATACACAAGCATGACCAGACAAATTGTTCATGGTCCATGTCCTATTTGATTGATGAGTGCCCATCTCCATACTGATTGTTAAATATTTTAAACACCAACCCTATACATTCCAAGCATTAGGAAGCCTCCCTTTAAGCAGCCAACCTCAAATTCTACCTGTGTTAATTTCCTACAGTAGCTGTAAAAAAAAAAAAGTACCAAAAACTGGGTTGCCCCAAAACAGATATTTATTGTCTCACAGTTATGGAAGCTAGAAGTCCAAAATCAATGTATCAGCAGTGCCATGCTCTTTCTGATGGTTCTAGGGGAAATCTTTGCCACTTCTGGCTTCTGGTGTTTGCTGATAATCCCTGGTGTTCCTTGGCATGCTCAGGGTTGGAGGAGCATCACTCCAGTACATGAAGAAAGGGGTATCTTCTCCCTTTGTGTCTTCACATTATCTTCCCTGTGTACATGTCAGTCTCTGTGTCCAATTTTCCCCTCAAATAAGGACTCCAGTCATTCTGAATTAGAACCTACCCAAATGACCTTAGAGATCCCTTGGGTAGAGACCATTTGGATCAATTTTAACTTCATTGTGTAAAAACCCTGTTTTCAAATAAGGTCACATGCTGTGGTACTAGAGTTAGAAATTTACCATATCTTTGGGGGGGCACAATTCAACCCCTAACAACATCCAAAACTTCCTTTCATATAGTTGGCCAAAACATAGATACATGGTGCCACCTAGCTGCAAGGGAGGCAGGAAGATGTAGTCAATAGTTGGATACACTGATGCTTTCTTGCACCCCCAATAAAGTCCAAATAATAAAAAGAAATGGAGACTGGATATTGTGTGAAGACTGGCAGTCTCTGCCACAAGTAGGAAAGGTTATTTCCCCTTTTTACAGATCAGCATACCAGTTAGGATAATTGTAGGATTTATGCCATAGGGAGAGGTAGACGGAAAAGTAAATAAACATTCATTAAGCACCTATCATATGACAGGCCCCACAATGATTATTAACAAATACATGATTGCATTTAATCTTTATACAACCCTGCAAGATAAGCATTATTAGCCCAATTTCACAGATGAGAAAGGTGGTGTTAAATCTTTTGTCCAAGATGACACAGCTAGTAAGCAACAGAACTAGAATTTAACTGTAGTCCGAAACTTTATGCCTGTGAGATGGGCCCTGGGAATGGGGCATAGAGCCAGAACAAAGAATGCTGAGGTCAGGCCAACAGCAAATAGTGGGAGACCTGAGAGAGACTGATACTCAGAGGGAGACACTAGATGAGCTGGCAGAAAGGGCATCAACCTGAAGTCAGTACAGTAAACTGCCTGAAGGCATGAGTGGGATGGAGACCCTGAAGTGAGCAATGCCAGAAGCTGAAAGCGG